ATATATATATATATATATATATATATATATTTTATAATCTACTTTAAGGTATTCATAAAAATGAAATTGCTTAGTTTGCGGCATATTAATGTCCTTTTCCGCCAACTAAGCTCGGCATAATTTATTCTTTTTCTAATTTTTAGAACTAAAAGAGGTAAAAAGAAAATTAAACTGAGATTAAAATTAATCTATATTAATAAAACGTGCGTAATTTATGCAAAAATGTCAAGAACATTTACGAAGAAGTAGCTGAGCAACCCATGGCGATTTGTCATCGTTAAAAGTAAACGGAGTACTAGTTCCCAGGATGTAAAGAAAGTCATGAATCGACTAGATGCAAATACACAAAGGCATATATACTCGCGAGACGCGTCGTTCACAGTTCATGCGTTTAATTATAAACAGACGACGAGTTGTTTGGGTATGATCGATAGCGCTGGATGCGATAGTAAATATCAGAGCGTGTGCTATTTTCTGCAACATCCACCGATGTCTCACGAGAGCATCCCCGATGCAGAAATTGCATAAGTACGTTCCTCGGATATTTTTTGCAGAAATAATTTTGCAAAACGTACGCACTACTTTACGAATAGTTTGAAACGATATACTCGGTCTTAAACTCTTTGCAATTTTGAATGCTTGATATTAAAGGGAAAATCGATACGTTCATTCACCCTCTATCCGAGCAAGTCTATTCAATTCCCAAAATAAAATTTTCGGGAAACGAAGAAAAATCAAAAAAAAGAATAACGGTTTTTAAATAAATTGTTTAACAACGTATATAAATTTCTGCAATGTTCGAAGGATATTTTTTTTAGAACTGTTTCAATATCTATCTTTACTTGAATTAAGTGTTAATAAAATCACAAAAAAAAAACAATTTAGTTTACACAATAAATATGTATTAAATTTACACATAAACATGTTTAACACAAAAGTTTAAATCGACACATCTCTTAACATAAAAGATCCATTGTTTTTTTTTTTTTTTTTACCGTGATATGATTTCGAGCATAAAGGGTGTATACATAATCACTTTTTAAGTGACATCCTTCGAACATTCTCCGAATTCGTATGAGTTTGACGCGCTTCGCGTCTGCAAATGTCACGGAGCGCGCGCATCTGTACGTCGTGACAAACGCCACGTCTTTATTTTAAGGTCCATCTTTTCCTCATCCCCTCATTCGCGTGGCCCGGTCGATGCTCGGTCGACCGTTCCACTTAAGACGCGCCCTTGCGAAGAATCGCCGTCGTCCTCGCGCGTATCGGATCAGGTAGCGGCGAAACAAGAGAGACATCCGGAATTGCGTACTATACCGTGTTGTTGCGTTACAGTTTTAGAGTAACCCAACACGATGGAGCAAGGTTTCCCAGGGCAGCATACCACCACGACTACCGTGACGACCACCAGTACAACGACTCAGCCCAACATACGATTTGATCCGTCATACGCGAGGACATTGCCTGGCATTCTCAAGATCGTGCAAGTGGTGAGTGTTGTAACACCCGTTTAGTTTAATTTTATTGAGTGACTCACGAGAAATGTTGTTGTTCAGCGTTATTTTGCAAGAGAATTTATCGTTAATAAAAGATGCCAAATTATAAATTAAAATCTACACAGTCAAATGTAAGATATAATCACTCTCGATATCACAGATGTGTGTGGCTTATTCTTTCGAAGATGTAAAAAAAGATTGTAGGTAAAGATGTCATTTAATTGAAGAAGGATTAGGAATTAGGAAATTTGTTAAAGGTGATATTTGATCTGTTTAAAACACGTAATATAAATATTATGTATAAAATGTACGTGCGTGAGTTAGGATTACGGTGGGCAGCGTAAGACCACTTGCGTCACGAGTTATAATGGATTCTTGAATCTCTCATGTCGATTGCAAGAGCCGGGAAGCTTTGTATTTATGCACAATGCGTGCTCGCTCAGCTGCGCAGCAGCGGAATTTTCATGAATGATAATCGCGTTGGGGTCTTCTTTCAGGTACTAAATCTCCTGGGATTTATATGCATAACGGTGTCGTCTCAGAGCAGCCACAGCCGGGGAGGATGGTTTAATACTGTGGCCATGGGTGGTTTCTGGTTCACGGGGATCCTGCTCGTTCTCTACCTATTCCACATTGTGGAGAAATTCTCTAGGATTCCTTGGCTTAAAATTGTAAGTCATCGTTGCTCTCGCAAACGATATATCAATCGAGAGGTCATTCGGCCTCCTGGTCGCGAGATCCTCTATCTTTGTAAAGGCGCGCTTAAAATAAAAGCAAATAAAAATATGGAGAACAGGTCCAGTATGACACGGATATCCACATGTAATAAGACCGGGGAGTGAAAGCTCACTAGAAAGTTTCTACGCGCGACGCCTAGGAATTTAAAAACCGACCCGTCGCTCCGACTTTTATACTCACGGTTGAACGATTGATCGCGGATATCGTAATGAGATCACGTAATGAGATCACGTAATGAGATCATCGTTGACGCTGGACCAAAGATCGTTTATAATCAGATTGACCTTTTACGAACGTTGAGATTACATGGTATTATGTAGACGTCTCTTGTAGTCACGTAACATCTCGTATCGACAGGTTGCACGTTTAACATACTATGAATTTAGTCGCGCCCGAAATTCTTATCGCCACTGATTGAAAACTCTCCATCCAAATACTGCAACTTGGTGCATATAATTTCAGGAATTCATATTCTGCACAGTTTGGACTGTGTTTTACTTGCTGGCCGCTTCTCTCGCAGCCGACTACGCGCGTTACACGGAGGCTTTCGGTGTTGCAGCGGTAAGAATTCTTTTACACATTCTTTGATGCATATGTTATATTGTTGCCCCAGGTATCGGCAATGGGTATCGTAAACGCAATTTTCTCGTGGAAACAGAGAAAGATAGAAATCATCACAAATTGATGATATTTTAAAAAATTAAAATGTAACAGGTTATCTTAAAGTTTCTTACTGCTTAGGTGCACTTTTTTGATCGTTCTCAAAATAGTAGACAAATGAATACGCTCTTTGATGCTTGACACCGAGATCTAAACATTTAATACTATTCGCAGTTCTTTGGATTTTGCGCAATGGTGGGCTACGGCTATGACGCTTGGCTGAAGTTTAACGCGATGAAGAGCGGAGGGTTGGCGCAGGGTCAACACACGCCGAAATCCACTGTTACCAGTCCGGCGTATTAGATATCCAAGGATAGGAGAGGCCCACGGTGAAATGGACCACACCGGTCGATCGACTGGACCGACGGCTCGATCGATCGACACATATCGTTACCTTTTGTGCGGGGCCAGCCCTTTTTGTAACTCCGGTGCGTTTCTCTCGCACGGAATGTCAACGCGCGTGTCCGTGCATGCTCGTGCGTGCATATGCTCGTTTGTCCATGCCCGCGCATGTATACGCGACTTTCCCTTTGTCTCTTTTTTCTTTTTGTACTGTGTAACAAGGCAATAATCTACACTACGCCATAGCGTACCGTTAACTTATATTCTAACAAGAAGAAGAAGGCCACGTGCGCGCCATCGTACAACGATTGTTAATATTTTGTAATAATGTTCGCCGCGTCTTTACTTTCGCTCGACTGTTATTTATGCGATGATATATGTGTACATATATATATATATATATATATATATACATATACATATATACACACATACACATATACATATACATATACACACACATACACATACATAACAAGTTATAGCAACAAGTTTCGGAACTTGTTGAATCCGTATTTTAAATTATTGTTGGAACCGAGGCGACATTTTAAGCATCGTGGTAGTGGTAAATGATGATGCCCGGGCGCATTTTAGCGCGATATCGAGTGCCGTTGGGAGTATTAGATCTATTTTAATCCTCTGGATCCTTGTTCGCAATTGGATCAATTATCTCATTTTTTTTATTATTATTAATAGGATGTTTCCAGTTCCTTCGATTTTTATTCTAAAACTTAAGGCTAATTAAAACTAAGACTATTCCTGATTCGTTGCCGTAGCCATATTAGAATCATGACATCATAGAGAAGAAATGACACAATGAAATTTATTGCATTTAGTTTGCAAATGAAGAAAAATTTGACTAAAACGACACTTGAGATGGCTTTAAGATATTTATGAAAATGGACGGCTGTTATCCTTTCCCTTCGTAATAGTTAATAAATAGCCATAAAAGGCACATGAAATGAAATCTGTTCAGGTAGAAAAACACACGGTTTGATAGCTATTGAAAGAAGTGAAAAATATGCTTTTGCATATAAATTCAAAGTTAATTTTAGCTGTCGTCCATTTTTACAAATTTGATAAGTACAAAATGAGTCATATCTGCATAATTAAGCATTTAATAACGAAAATAGGTGCAATAAAATTTCGTTGTTAATTTAATATAAAGAGAAAACAAGGGCAAGGATAAGATAAATAAGCTTCTAATTTTTACCGCAATGCTATCAACGCGGAATTCCTAGCTGATTACTCAGAAGCCTTAAAAGAACTGGTTGAATATTCCATTCAAAAGCGTTATTTCTGTATAAAATCACAAAGATTTTGGCCGTTTGCGAATAAGGAAAGAGGATGCAAAAGTTAAGATATTAGAACATTGAGATTTTTCCCCTTTGTCGTCGTGTGTAGCCGTCTTAGACTATCGTTTAGATCTTTTAGATTTCGATATTGCGCTTGGCAAGGAGGCACGGAGGGATCAAGCGTACAGAGCTACGACTGCGCAAACTGTACAGGGGATGCAAGAAAGTAATGTAGTGTGTTCACATATACACGTATAGACGCGTTGTTTGGTTCGCAACGAACATATCTGCCGCATTCGTCATCATATCGCGTTAACAAATATGTGAAATCTCGCATAATGAGAATCTCACGACAATTTCTCTGTATCGCGAATGAGAATAATGTTATGATATATCGAAGAGTACTATATTCTCTCTGTCTGTTGCGATTCACATAAGCTGTATATATTTATTAGTTTTGTTATTTCTATCCAAGCTCGAGTCTCTAAGGTACAACATCGATATGTACACAATGTGGTATATATTTATATCAATGTCTTAGAAATCTGATGATGAATTTGACGTGGATATTATTATGTATAATAATGATCGGCGAAATAAAGTCTCAACGTCGGTAAATGTAATGTAGTCAACGAAATAAATCATTGATTCTTGGACGTGAAATTAATTCACTTCCGATTACTTTCATGTGGGATATACTTTGTCAAACGTTCATACAAATATATATATATATATATTACGGACATATCAAATAAAATTACGAGTTATCTTTATAAATGGGCTTGATTTCTAAATAGAGGAATGTTACCTCTTGTGAAAGTTTCTGATTGTTTCACTTATGTCATCATGATTTTGTCCATTTCCGTCGCTTTGATATTGTATCGCTGGATATTAATAGATAAATATAGTTTCTTCATAATTGACAGATAGATCGAGTTAGAGTTTCTTATTATGCGGCGAACCAAATTATGGAGACTTGTCTCAATGTATTTTCGGAGATACGATTATTTTACGCTGATGGTGTTTCCAATATTTCGATTTATTATCTTATTTATTAAATCTAATATACACTAAATGCATAATCTTACATGAAATTACATTACTTGTACCGCTAATCTTAATTTATTTATTTAACCCTAATTTTAGCCTAAGAATTGAAAGATTTCACGTTATGAAATACGATTACGCGTTAATTGCGACAAGGGCGATGGCGAGTATGTTAAATGCGAGTTTCAAATCCCTGCCTTAATTTCTATACTGGAATTGAGGCCGGCGCGCCTGCTTCTTGCCCATCGACGAGAGATCGATGGTCTTTCCGTCCGGGAGCACTAACTTGTTCTCCTGGTAATCCACGAAACCCTCTTCCTCCTCCTCTCGTTGTTGCTCGTCGCACTTGATCCCGGTCTCGTACGTGTACTCGCGTCGGATACCATCCGGATCGATATACCCGTATTTACCACTTGTTATGCAATCCATGCCGATCGTCTCTTCTTTATACGATCCATCGTCGTTCTCGAAGCCCCATGTGATAGAACCATCCGCATTATCGTGTCGATATCGTCTGATAATCTATAAAATATTGTTTGTAATATCATTAAATCTTTCTCGAGAAGAAGAATCTTTTATTCATCGTGCGGTAAAGTCAGCTTTGAATATTTCATAATTCGCGTTAGCTTCCAGGATGAAATTCTATTTATAATTTTATATACCACGTACATGCGTTCTCACTCTTCAAATGTTTCTTTTTTGTATATTTTGTATACTTTATATAATATATATATAAAATCTTTGATAGATTTTTACCTGGAAGTCTGTTCGCAGTGGTTTTAAGACTTGTTTATGAGCACATGAAAGACACCGAGTGTGTCATTTCACAAATTTGACTGGAGACGTTGCGTAACGAGCGTGAACAGGTTTTCTCTGACCGTGTTTATGAGTTATACAGTGTTATCTTGAAACAAAAATGACTATAACAGCCAGATTCCAGCTTTCACCGTTCGATTTCGAAAACTCTATCAATCTCTTCGTACTCTCGGATCGTATCTGATCGCGCGATTTCTACAATTCGAGAGAAATAGAAATTTATGTAACTACGGATAAGAGCTTCTTTTTTTTTTAATCGAAACGATAGAATAAGAATTTATTCGATCTCGGGAAATCTTCGATGGAATTGTTTACCTGTGCCACCGGTTTCTTGCCGCGGATTTCATAAGCCTGAGACGGTTTCACCGGCTTGGGCGGCGGTTTGATCGGTTGCTGGAACGTGAGGTCGTCGATGATCTGCTTCCTCGGGGCTTTCGTGGGCTTCGGCGTCGAACGGTACTGAATGGGCGGCGGTGGCGGAGGTGTCGCGGGGCTCACCCTGACGTTCGACGGCGTCACCGGTTGAGGCGGACGGTACGAGACCACCGGGGATGCTCTCGGGGGTGGTGGATTCGGCACCGTACGCAGCACTTCCTCGCTCAGCTCCTCCTCGCTCTCCTGACTCCTGTGCTCCTGGCTCTCCGCCTCCTCCTCGCGGACGGACAGATTCTCCTCCTCATCGGGTTCCTCGTTCACCGGCTTGACGTGATGCGGGAATGGAGATGCGCCCCCCGGCAAACTCGGCCGGAGGGGACGGAACGTACTGGGCGCGTCATCCGCGCGAGGCCTGGAATTAAAAGTGTCGAGCGATTTCTTAGCGATTTCTCCAATCGTGCTTACAGATCTATAGTTTTAGAAGCTTCCCGTCATTTTCGAATTATTGTTAGATTACATTAGTCACGCTTTTCACAAAGGCAGACATAGTCTTGCTTTTCAAAATAAAAAAAAAAATTCGGAGTGGAATACATGGAAATGTCAAGACTATTTTCCTTCTTACCACTTACGGCGTTAAACATGCACTTGCGTATTTGCATAGTCGCTCACGTGGAACGGTATTCGGGCTTTCTTGCCTCGACCTACAAGCCTGAAGTGACGGATTCGTACATTAATATTGCGTAATCCGGCGATTCCCTCGAATACGCGTAATTAGTAATTTCGTACTTCCTTCTCGGCGCAGCGTTTCACGAAACGTTGCACGAACGGGCCGCGGCCCGTTAGATTAATTAACTCAGCAGCGCATATCGGCTTATTCTTTACCTCTCAAATAAATACGGCGTCGCCCAAACTGGTTTTCCTGCCTTTCCAATAGCTCAAGTAGTTCTTTAGTCGCGCAGAGCTGGGTTACGCGAACATTCTTAATGCACGATTTATTTATAATTCGTTGTGACTAAATTTTCCAACAAAGATTGCATACCGATCGAAGAAAAAAATCTCGCAAACTCACACGTCATGGATATCGATGTCTTTTTTTTTTACGAGAGAGAAAAATTAAGAAGAGACCTTTTATCAAGATTAATTAGAGCAAACCCGACGATTTTATCTATTAAACTCTCTCCCAAGCTCAGCACGATTAACCATCTCGGATTCCCATTTCGGATTAAATGTACGATTTAATCATCGAGGATTACTTGAAGGAGATCGGCCGACGAAATCGTTGATGGGGGAAGAGGGCCGGTCCGGTGCCGCCTGGTCGAGGGGGTGGTAATCTCTGATAGCGTGTCGATCGTAAAGGGATCGATGATCCCCTCGGTCCATCCTGGATCTGTGCCGTGCAGAGCGCGGCGGCGCACGCCAAGAACTGGAAAGGAGGATTCCTCCAAGTTACACAATTTCATTCATCGATTGCGACCTTTCTGGCCGCGTGCTTGACTCCGAAACTATGAAATTAATTATAGAATTAAAAGTAAATATTGATATATAATAAATCGACGAGGCTGTAATGCTGTTTATATTCATTGCATTTTGAATTTAGTCAATCAAAAGTTTATGAAAATTTGCTTTGCTCTCTTAGTATATCTAATACCTTCGATTTGATTCGCAGAACCGAAATGACTTATTATGCTTAAACTATATAAAAATTTAGAAACAAATTTGAAAATAATTTTATTGAGCCATCGCAATAATTATGTAGAATGTTATTTGGTAGAATATCAAACATTTTTGTAGTTTTATCATGCTTAAGTGTCCTATATTAATATTTCGATGATCCAACAAAATTATTTTTAAATCTACGTCAGGCTAAATTTTTAGATACCTCAGCAAAACTGTTCTTTCTAAGGAAAAGTATGCCGACTCCTGATGTAAAGTCTTAATTAAACACATCGCTGTCTCGAGAATCGCTAATGACCGTAATACCCGCGGAAAAAAGAATATTACGATAAGTGCGACGATTGCTACATCGCGCGTTAACATTTTGTTTTACCCGAGGTTCCGAGGCGCGATTTTCTCGAAGAAAACGCTATTTAATAAATTACTACCCGCCGCGCTCTTTAAATCGCAGCGGTAATCTACGTCCCGTGATTTCTCCAAAGACATAATGAAGCAAATCGATAGCGATCGGTAAAAAACCTCTTTCCGAACCTTTTCACCGGATAATTCCGTCGAGGATTCAAGTACGAGTATTATCGCCGGACCGCGCACGCCCCATCAGGGTGGCGCTAATAATAGCGATCGTTGTTGAAGTAAAAAAAAAAAAAAAATCATTGCTCGATATCTCGAGGCACTCGGGAATCAATGAACGGCAACGCCGTTCGAGCGCGTGTAACGCGTTACGCGAAACACGTTCCGGATCGCGCGGCATTATTCCGGTTTTGCGCACCGCACCGCACCGGCGCGGCGGTTGGCCGCATACGTAAAATCGGCACCGCGTCTCGCGTTCGGGAGAAAAGAGAAAGTGATTCGATTCGGCCTTAAGTGCACGCAGGTAGTGCACGCAGGCATCCCACATAAGTAATTCGCGTAACTGTTTTAATCGGCGTGACATTTAAATGACGACCGCGTCAACCGACGGCTCCGCGGCGCTCCGAAGGGGCGGGAAGGGCGAAAAGTAGATGAACATTATGCATTGCGTTGAAAAATAGAAACCGCGATAGAAATTCAGGTGACTGTCTATCTGTTTCACTTTCATCGTTATTCCTATCGCGAAATCGAACTCTCTATTTGTCATTTATAAGCGCGTGAATAATAATATTATTTGCATAAGCAATTTTTCCTAAGAGTCCTCTTGAATCTTGGATACGTCTTAGGATAAACTGAACTTTCGCTGTTTTATTATTAATTGAGATGAATTTGTTGGATTTGTGTTAGATGATTTATAATTGGCATCAATATATATATTCTAATTATTTTATTGTTTCTATTAACGGTACGTAAAACCACGAACAAAGTAATGCCCTGAATTTTGAAACAAATTTTATATGATGTACATAAGAAAAAATCAATTTTACTGGAATCTAAAAATTATTTAAAAATTTGATCAGATATAAATTTGAAAATAATTTTATTGGGCTATCAAGATAATTATGAGGCTATCAAGAGAATTACTTCAATTTGATTTGTTATATTAAAAATTGTTGCAACATTATTATTACGCTTAAACATCCTAGATAGAGTCCTTCAAAATTGTTTTCAATTCTGTATCTGGCCAAATTTTTAGATATTTCAGCAAAATCGTTTTTTCTTTGCAAGATATATCATGTTACAGAAATAGAATCTTATCATAAATCGTATGTCTTTATATTATCTAAACGCCTATGTTTCCTATATATTTATATAATTATCCATGTTACACATCCATGCACTTTCATACAATTATATTTATTATGGTTATAGAAAGTGAATTCATAACTCTTATCGTCAGATGTCTGTGAAAATGGATGTGTGATCGAACTGTAATCGTCCAAAAACGGTGCATTAAGCAGCATTTTAATGATGCACACGGTGCGGTCGGAATGCAACTCGGACGGCGAGGTGCGAGGCGGACAAAATCTGAGCTGTGCCGAGTCGAGTCGGCGAATTCGTTTCTTACATCGTCGGTTCCGAGTCGGGGCACGCGCGCAACTCGTTTACGCGGAATACAGTGAATAATTTGTCCACGACTTTCTTGCCGGGCGCTTTCACTCGCGCTCGCCAGACTCGTTGACGATTTTCGGCCTTCACCGACGTCGATCGGGGTGCGCGGACTTCTGTCTCGGCTGTCTCCGAGGAATAGATTGGAGGGCTTACGGAGGGCTTACGGAGGGCTTACGG